AAAAAAAAAAAAAAAAAAAAATGGGCAAAAGATTTGAGTAGATAACTTTACTAAAGAAGATTTCTGCATGGCAGATGAGCAGTGATGCTCAGCATTGTTATTAAGAAATGCAAATTATCCCTGGTGGTCTAGTGGTTAGGAAAAAGGAAAAAAATGCAAATTAAAACCACAGTGAATTCTAGCACTCTGGGAGGCCGAAGTCTGAGCATTGCTTGAGCTCGGGAGTTCAAGACCAGCCTGAGCAAGAGCAAGACCCACTCTCTACTAAAAATAGAAAAATTAGCTGGGCATGGTGGCGCATACCTGTAGTCCCAGGTACTTGGGAGGGCGAGGCAGGAGGATCCCTTGAGTTAGAGGTTGCAGTGAGCTGTGATGACACCACTGCACTCTAGCCTGGGCAACTAAGTGAGACTCTGTCTCCAAAAAAAAACGCGGCATGGGGGCGGGAAATATTTGTTCTGGGCTACTCTCCAAATGTTTGAGCTTGAAATTTCTGGGTGAGTTATTGGGAAGTAGTTTTAATTATTAATTTATTTAAATTAGCTGATAGACCATAGGATGCTAGAGAGGCTTTAGAAATTATTTTGTCTGGTTCCCTTTTCATATAGATGAGAAAATTAGTCCAACAGTAATTGAGTCACTCAATTTTACTGGAAGCCAGAAGTAGAGCTTGGGTGATAAATTCAGCTTGCCTGTTTTACAGGATATTACTGTTTCCACTGTACCATGTTACCTCTGCTAGTAAAAAGATTCTGTTGGAGGTAAAGTTAAATTAAGGGAAATAAAATATGTATCATTTTTCTTCCTAGTGTATCTTCAGTGTATTTTCCCCATTGTGACAGTATCATCAGATTGTGTTTGATCTGCTGGTCTACTGAGGTCAGAAATTTGGCCAAAGGTTGCTACTACTTTTGATAGTTGTTCTTTGATCATATAGTTTGAGTTGTGTATTTTTAGTCATTGATTTTTAATATCCTCTAGTTTAAGCTATGAAGAAGGACATCCCTCACACTCTGAAACAGATCTTCTTCAGAGACAGACTTTTGCAGCCTCTCATCAGCTTCCTGGATATGCTCCCACACCTCAACCTACTGGTAATGATTCTCTTGTGTATATACTACAAATCTGGGTACATTTAGTGAATAAGAAGAAAAATTAATTTTCACATGTTGGGTTATGAATGTGTAGGACATACTTATGCCGTGGGAAATGTTAAAATGAAAATGAGATTAAAAGCCTTGATGTTTACTGATAGGGATTATCTATGTAATTAATAAAGTAAGAGAGCTTCATACTTCTTTGGAGGCTTTAAATTATAAATATGCTTGGTCAAATTGATATTTATTTGCTATTTCAAAATAAAACCATTTAGGGCTGTAGAATTTTTTGGCCTCATTTTTCAGAAATTCCTTTATACAATAGAGTCAAGAATATAATTTTATATAAGTATATATTTTTACTTTGGGATATATTTTATCTTCAAATGTAGGTCTTTCTGGAATATTTGATACTAGTGTGAACAGTGCCAGTGCTAACACTAAAGAATCTTCAGTGATGAATTTTCTCTCTGCTGTTGAATCCCGAACTGCTCAGGCTGCTTCTTCAGGAACTGTTCTTTTACCACAATTCAGGGCTCCATCCTGGCAGACAGGTGATTCTTTGTTTTCAGAATTTTTAAGTCCTGTAAAAATACTGATCAAAAATATACTTTTTATGGCTTTGTTATTATGGTAGTATGGCTGAGTGATTATTAATTATTTATTTTCCAGTGAACTTTAAAACCTAGAATTTTTTTTACAGCTTTAAGGTGTATAAAATTTAAGAAATTATTACTGGCAGAAATTCGGTTTTAGCACTCTGATGTTTGGCATTGGAAGGGAAGATAATCATTAAAGATACACCCTAATGTAAAATTTATATCTCATAGTTTAGTTTTTTGTCTACCTGAGAGAAGCAAAAATTAAATTTCATTTATTTTAGTGACTTTAGGCTGGGTAGTTGGTATAGTAAAAAATAATCTTGAGACTCATTTTATCTTTAGTGTTATATAAAGTTATGCTTAACTGAATAGTTTAAATGAGTAATAAAAGCCATTACAGGTTGATATTATTATATTGTACTCATTTTCCAGAAATAATTACAGTGTCTGTAATGTGCTTTTCTATTATTTCTCTTTTCTTTTTCTTTCTTTTTTTTTTTTTTTTTGAGACAGGGTCTGTTGTTGGAGCTAGAGTGCAGTGGCATCATCATTGCTCACTGTAACCTCAGACTCCTGGGCTCAAGCCATCTTCCTGCCTCAGCCTCCTGAATAGCTCGGACTATATGCCTGTACCACCACCCCCAGCTAATTCTTTACTTTTTCATTTTTTGTAGAGATGGAGTCTCACGGTTTTGCTTTTGCCCAGTCTGGTCTTGAATGCCTGGGCTCAAGCAGTCCTCCCACCTTGGTCTCCCAAAATGCTGGGATTTCAGGCATGAGCTACCATGCCCAGCCTATTTCATTTTTCTTATTTCATTTTTTAACAGTTTCTCCTCAGAAATTATTTGTGTATATTTCTGGGGTTTTTTTGTTTTTGTTTTTAGTTTTGTCTTACAGAAGAAATGTTGTAGCGTACTTAAGAAGATATTTGAAAGAAATAGCTATAGGAAATAGTATTTTATCATTTTGACCTAAATTCCGGTAATAGAGCTTCTCGATATGCCTTAGCAACATTTTTTTCTGCTTCTAAGGGAATAATTAATGATAATTAGTGTGAAATAAAACAGTATTAAAAACAGTTTCCTTTTTTACTTCCTTGAAATAATTTTATCTTTCATATATTTAGTTAGACTTTCTGTTTATCAGTTTATTAGTCCTGAAACTTAATATTAAGAATTGAAGAAGCATTAAAATAAAACAGTCTATTAATATTTTTGGCATATGTTTAAAGAAGGCAGGAAAGTATTTAACTGACATCTAAGTGAGGCAGTACTTTCTGTAAAGTGTTTTTAATCTTATACAGTTTGTTTTTAAATTTCGTGGTTTTTTAGGCTTCCAATTTTAAAAATTCACTTTTTCAATTTATATCTGGCCCCATAACTGAATTGCATTCAGAAGGGCCTTGGACTCTCATGTTAGTAAGGTAGAAGGTTTTTTATTTTTATTTTTTTCCAGAGTACCACAGATTTTACTATGATATGCCTGCTTAAAAGAAACACTGATGGTTTTTGAGCACATTAACCTGGATCTAAACTAATATACTCTAAATGGAAAATAAAAATGAAATTGAGACAAGAATATACACACATGAATGCACCATTAGTTGGAAGGAGGTGTTAGTATGTTAGGATAAGGAGCATCTTCAGTTAGAATGTCTAAGATTAGAATATGAGCATTAGATGCGTTACAACATACTTCTTTTGGCATACATGGTGAGTTTGCTAGCCTCTGTGACTCCCTTCTATATGGATCTAATAATCATACAGAAGTAAGTCAAGTGAGAAAGATCCTTTATCACCCCACTGGATAGAAGAATTTCAAGTAGTAGAAGTTCCTTGCCCACTGCTTTAAGCCCCAGATACTCTATGGCTTCTCTAACTAGCCTCTTCCTCATTCTAGGCATAACTGTGACAGTGTCAGTCACCATGTAATTACAATTTGTTCTTTAGATATGATTTGATACATGGGACATAAAACATGTTCTTGCTTCAGAATAATCATTATAATAGAATTAATTATTCATTTTTAACTTTACATTTAGTTAAATTCTTTATTGCTGTCTACTTTTTATATTTTAACCCTCACTTCCCACAACAAACACAAGTGGAACAAGTGGAGCTACCTGGTAAGGAGCAGTAGAGTAAGTTGATTGGAGTTTCATGAGTGCTACTTGACATTGGGCAAGTCACGTCACCTCCTTAGACCCCAGTTTCCCCATTGCTAGCGCAAGGGAATTGAGCTAGATTTTCTCAAAAGTCCATTCTTGTTTCTGTGTCTGAATTATTTTAAACATTTCCAGGTGTTATTTATTCTTTCAAGTGCCACTAGATATTTTTTTATTTTTATAGTAGCATATAAAGCATTTAAATGGTAAAAAGGTATATATAGCGGAAAATGATAGTTCCTAACTATAGTCCTATTTTTTAAAGAGGAGTTAACATTTGGTATGTATTCTTCTCAGACATCTATGTATCCACTTAATGTTTATAGCAACATTATTTTTTTTTTTTTTTTTTTACATATAGCAGAGAAAACAAATAATGTTTCTGGATCTTCAGCCCAAA